CCCCTAAGGCCTCTCACTGTGGTTCCCAGACTGGTCTTGAATTCCTGAATCAAGTGATCCTCCTCACTTGAAAAAAAAAAAAAAGGGGGGGGGTGGTGGTGCTGGGGAGATGGCTCAGTAGCAAGGGCCTGAGTTCAATCCCCAGTTCTGCCAGAGGAAAAAAAAAAAGAAAAGAAAAAAGGAATCTCAAATCTTTTCCGATCCCTACATCTTGAAACCAACCTAGTTTCCTCCTTCACTAAGCATATTCTGAGTCAGTCACTGATTCTAGTCACTCTCTCCTTAACCTCCCTCTCCTCCTCTGCCAGCGCTCATTGCCTGGCCCCACAGCTGCTCTTCTCCTTTGGATTATTTTGCTTCCCATCCAGTGTCCCTGCCTGGTGTCTCACCAACTGTCAACCCACTCTCCACAGCTGCTGGAACCATCTTCACACAACTCCACTCCCAGTATGTGTTCTTCAGGGGCAAAACAAGGTCCCTGGGCTGGGGAGATGGCTCAGTAGAATAAGTGCTTACCTGACACGCACAAGGGCCTGAGTTCAATTCCGAGTTCCACAAAAAAAAAAAAAAAAACAAAAAACAAACATGTCCCTGGGCATTGGATGCAAAGCCTCTGACAATCCAGCCAGTGGCTGTCATCTAACCAGCTCCACTCTTCAATGAATATCAAAGATCAGCCCTGGTTCATTCTTCAAAAGTCAGCAGGTTGGGCCGGGGAGATGGCTCAGTGGAGTAAGCGCTTCCCTGGCAAGCACAAGGGCCTGAGTTCAATCCCCAGTCCCCCCCCCAAAAAAAAAAAAAGTCAGCAGGTTGAAAGCAAGAAGTGGGCCTAGGAGATAGCTCAGTGGCATAAGTGTCTGCTTGGTAAGTATGCCCAGCACTCAGGAGGCTGAGGCAGGAGGATCACCATGAGTTCAAGGCCAGCCTGAACTACACAGGAAGACCCTGTCTCAAAAAACAAACCAATTGCCTAAGTAAATAATCTGAGAGATGCAGGAGGATCACAAATTCAAACCTACCCTTGACAACTCAGTAACTTAATGAGACCCTGTCTCAAAATAAAAAGTGAAAAGGTCTGGGGGTGTAGTTCAGTGCAAAGGATTTGGTTCTAGTTCCCAGTACTGCAGAAAAAGTAGAGAGAGGAGGAAGAAGAGACAGCTGGTACAGTGGCACACTTTGGTAAGCTCAGTACTCAGGAGGCTGAGGCAGGAAGATCATGAGTTCCAGGTCACTACGAACCAGCCTAGTCTATACAAGACCTTGTCCCCCCCCCAAAAAAGAGAGAGAGAGAGAGAGAGAGAGAGAGAGAGAGAGAGAGAGAGAGAGAGAGAAAACAAGAGAAAGGGAGGTTGTTGGACACCCACATTTCATCCACCCTGAATGAGGTTTTAGCCTTTCTTGCCTGGATCCCAGAGACAGGAGCCACAATCTCCCAACAGATTCACATTCGGTGAGTGCTGTTCACCTCTAAAGTCAGGCCCTCAGGATTCCCATGTACACACCAAGGGCCTTGCACATAGTCCTACAGATAATGACAATAATCTTCAGAATTCATTCTGTATCTTTATTTTAAAGACATTTTTACACTATCATGTCTTGCTACATCTTCTGGTAAACAAAGAATTTTCAAGGTGAAAAACTTGAGGTTCAAAGTGACCTAAAGGGGTTAAAGCACCTACGAGCAAGCACAGGGGCCTGGAGTTCCATCCCTGGGCCTGCCATGCCTGCCCCACCCCCGGGGCAGGCTGAGCCAACAGTTGAGACTGGGTGTGGTGGCACGTGCCTGTAATCCCAGCTCTTGGGAGGCTGTACAAAGGCAGATCACTATGAGTCCGATCTAGTACTGAGACCCTGAACACCCTCTCCTAAAATACAAAACAAACAAAAAACAAAGTGACCAAAAGATCTATGGCACCCCTGCCAACAGAAGGATTGTCACCATCAGAGGTCTGCCTGCCTGTGGTGGGGACATGTTTGTTGGATTGGCTGGGCAGCAGAGAAGTGGCACTGTGGCATGAAAACCATGGGTATAACAGACAGACTTGGGTTCTGATGCCAGTTCTTCTGATGGTAAAACTGCTATAGTTCAGGAGAGAGAAAAGAGGAGGCCTATTTTAGGAAGTAATTTTCTAGCCTGAATAAAATAGAGAAATTAGGGAAGTTCTTTGAAAGCACAAACTTAGCTTGCTGTTATATCCCTGGTACCTAATACATTTCCAGAGATATTCTTAGTGCTCAATAAATGTCTGTTGGCTGAACAAGAGATTTGGAAGGAAGAAGGCAGAGGAGAGACACTTGAGTTTAGAATCAAAAATCAAGAGGGAAAGAGCTAGAGAAAGGAAGTCCAGGGAGCGCCTCCAGACAGGTGGCCCCACTTCTCTTACTCTGAGCCACCAGTAAATCCTCTAGAGGAACAGGGTTCTGTGGCTTTAAATGACTTCAGCATTGTCAACGAATCTGCTTTGCTAAAAGAGTTATCCTCTTGCTCCTGCGTTTGGCCTCCCCCTCCACTCAGCTCCCCAAACCCTTCTCTGCTGCTGTGATGGGATAATTAGATGCGAGAGCTCAGCACAGATGATGCTCCAGTTGCTTAGCAACTAATGGTTTCCATGGAGACCGCAAAGCACAGCCTCCAGAGCAGCCAGTGAGCAGCTCGGCAGGGCAGGGAGAAGACGCAACTCTCTGCTCCTCCAGAAACCTGGGGAGGGTTGAGGTGGGGAAGTGGGGAGGGGGGGGGAGGCGCGGGTTGGAGGGAAACAGGGAGGGCTTAAAGGCCCAGGCTTCACATCCCTGTAAATTCTGGTCAGAGATCTGCCTTCGCTTACCCCACTCTATCTCATTCCTAATTTCAGGCAGGGATAAGGGTTTAAGAGAGGACCCAATGAAACCTGCCCTGCAATAAACAACCTCTTTGCCTTTCTGCTTCCTGGTTATGAGTGATATGGGAAGAGATACCTCCCAAGCCCAAGCATCCTGCCCGTGGGTGATGGGATTTAGGAAGTCCCAGGAAGAGCCCCTCACCCTAGTGTTTCACCACTTAGTCTCCTCTCTTAAGCTCCCCTTCCTATTGCAGAGAACCCCTTTCAGTTTGAAGAATGGGGGTAGGATCTGATCTAAAGGGACAAAAGCCAAGGGACAAGAGAAGAGGAAATCAGTTCTCCACCTGAAGGCAGGAAGGCAGCCTGTTGTAGTGCAGGGGGAAGAAAACAGCCAGCCCGACCTCCATCAGACATGGGTGTGTGTGTGGGGGGGCATGCATAAGTGGCAAGGAGGTGCCTATACCCAAACCTTCGGGCAGCTTCAGGCGTAAGTCTTTCAGGCCACCTCCAAGCACATTACCTGAAAGATGGTTAGAAATGCATAATTTCAGGCCTTCGCACAGACACATTGAATTAATGATTTTGTGTGTGTGTGTGTGTGTGTGTGTGTGTGTGTGTAACTGGGGATTGAACTCTGCATTGTTTGTTTTTTTGTTTTGTTTTTAACATATTTGGTGCAGGGTGCAGGGTCTCACTACGCAGCTTGGAATCGTAGTGATCCTCCTGTTTTCAGCCTCCCCTGCGCTGGGATTGGGTGGCCGGCTCAGCCTGCCCAGGGCGAGTCTTCCTAGCCCTTCAGAATCTGAATGTTGGCCTGTGAGATAGCTCAGCGGTCTAAAGCACCTGCTTCAGCAAGCTTAGGCAAGTGCAGGGACAGTGGTTAGGTCAGCTAGCCACAAAAAAAAAAAAAAAAAAAAAAGAAAAAAGAATCCGCACTTTAACAAGGTTTCTGGTGATTCATACACAGATTTAATTTGGAGAAGCTCTGACCACCCTCTGCTTGGGCCTTGAGCCTAGAGTTCTATCTTTACTGTCAGAAAGCACAGTGCTCCAGGCTTTGAGGCCCCCTCCCACACATAGTTGGGAAAGGACAGGAGCCTCATGCCCCCACTTTCCCACCAGGGCCCTGGCCATCTCTGGGACTGGAATAGGTCATGGAGCAACAAGACCTACCCAGCAGTACCCTCTGTAGAGCACAGGTCTCTCCAGCTTTTATGTCTACAAAAAACCAGTCACACCCAGTGTTCAGTGTGCCACATGTTAACGAGGGGCGCACGGAGCCTCTGCTCAGAGCCCAGCGTGGCCATGTCCTGGAAGAGGAAATGGCAGGGAAATTGTCTTTTTCATTTTCTCTTACTTGGTGTTTATTCTTTTCTCAGTACTGGGGATTGAACCCAGGGCCTTGCACATGCCAAGCACATGTTTTACCCTTGAGCTATATCCCCAGCCTTCTTTCTTGTTTTTTTTCTCCATCAGTTCCATAAAAGTTTGCTGGACAGGGCCAGTGTCCCCTGCTTTCCTGGCCTCCCATGTCCCGCCTCCAGAGTGATCTGCAGGCCTGCGGTTGTCACCCCTACCTCAGAATGGCAGTACCTGGGTCTCAGTCTGAAACTTTTTGTTGTTGTTGTTGTTGTTGGCAGAACTGGGGATTGAACTCAAGCCTTGTGCTTGTCAGGGAAGTGCTTATTCCACTGAGCCATCTGCCCAGCCCAGTCTGAAACTTTTGAAACCAAGACTGAAATTTTTGGCTCTGCTGCCCGCATCCTTCATTACCTGCCAGTCTCTTTGTCTCCCCATTCGCAGGAGCCTGGCAAGATTACTCTCCTCTGGCTGCATCAGGGCAACTTCAGGAGGACTCAACAACCCTCCTGGGAAGGCCCCTATCACCTAGGGAGCAGCCCTCCACCAGGCCTGGCTCCAGACACCCACAAACACAGAGGGACTATGCCTTACCCACGGTGGCCCTTGGAGACCCAAGAAGGGCTGCTCACCCTGCCCCTCCACACCTAAGCCTCCAGGACTAAACAGGGCATCCCCTTCCCAGCCTGAGGGCCAGCTCTCCATCCTGAAAAACCTGTCTGGGCCCCCTCCCTCAGGCTAAAGGGCCCCAGGGGCAGGTTGGACAGGATTCCTCTCCAGCTCCTCCCACCCCCAGGACAAAATCATCAACCCCCAGGGCAGGGCCTCACTTGCCTCCGGAAGCCCCAGCCTTCAGCACCTGTTCCTGCTCCAGCCCAGCCCAGGATGGCATCCCTGCTGCCGGTCCACACCTTGTCCTTGATGCTGATTCTGCTGGCTATCCTGGCCCCTGGGGCTACAGGTCTCTGCTATCTTTAGAGGGAATGGAGATGGGTTCAAAAGTCTAGATAGGAGTCCTGTGCCTTCCACGGCTCTCAAAGGGACTCAGTGTGGCTTGTTAAGGGCGGTGGCTGGGGGGCTGGGGATGGCAGTGACCAGGCATCAGACCCAGGGGACAGGGAAATGTGGGAAAGGTCCCAGGCTGCAGGGAGGAGTGAGGCTCTGGGCACTGCCTGGCTCTGGGCGCCCAGCTCTGGCTCTGGGGCCGCTTGGAGGAGTCCACAGCTTCTGCAGTCCAAACCTGCCACCTCGTGGCTAGAGGTGCATTTTGCCGGCTCTGCCCCCAGGGCTGAGGAAGAGAAGAGGAAATGGACCTTTCAGCCTTAGCAATGGCTGCAGGGAGGGGTTCGGTCAGATCTGACGGCTGGCTAGGGAGGGCTGTGATTCCTGTCTGAGCCTCTTCCTGGTCTCCCAGCAGAATTCAACATCTCAAGCCTGTCCGGCCTACTGTCCCCGGCCCTGGCGGAGAGCTTGCTAGTTGCCTTGCCCCCTTGTCACCTTACAGGAGGCAATGCCACATTGATGGTCCGGAGAGCAAATGATAGCAAAGGTCTGCCACTCCCTCCCCCAGGAATCCCCCTGAACCTCAGAGACCCCTTCCCAGAACAACCCCAGCCTCCCTCCCCAGTCCACATCTTCCTTCACCCGCTTTCCAGCTGCCCCTTCTCTGTGGGGCCTCCTGAAACCTGACCCTGACTTTCTCTCCCAACTTCCGGCGCAGTGGTGAACTCCAGCTTTGTGGTTCCCCCCTGCCGAGGTCGCAGGGACCTGGTGAGCGTGATGGACAGCGGGGCTGGCTTCACCGTCACTAGGCTCAGCGCATACCAGGTGACAAACCTCGCACCAGGAACCAAATACTAGTAGGTACCTGATCCAGGCCAGATCACCTGTGCAATGGGGTGAGAGGGTTTGGTCAGCACGGGGGGTG